CATTCGGATCGCTTGCTTCATGGCTTGCAAACGAGATGGACCGAGAGTTAGGTTAGAAGGAAACTCGGATTTAAATGGAAATCTGACTACATATCGTCCATCACTTTGCCGATAGGTGTTGCCTTGATAAAATTTTTCGCAAAATGCATCAGCATCGGAAGGTGGATGGGATTCAGTTATTTCTTCGGTTTCCCAGAAGAGTTTAAGTTGAGAGTTGAGATTTTCGCCTGAGTCTTCAACAACAAATGTGTGAAAACTGGTGCACTCAATAGACTTCAATGGCCCACTTAAATACCAACCAAAAATGGTGTTTTGAGCAAGAAGACTTCCAAAAATTTGGTGTTTGACTCCTTGAAGGAGGATTTGTGGTATCAGGTCACTACCTATTACTAGGTCAATTGGGCCGGGGGTGTAGAAATAGGGATCCGCATGATCTAGGTCCTTAATTTCTGAGAGATTTGGTTTATGAAGTTGGAATGATGGGAGAAAGCTGATGAGTTTTTTGAGGACAATGGCCTTAGTGTTTATGCTGATGTTGCCACGTTTGGAGGATATGGTAAGTTGGCAAACTCTGTTGGGATTTTCAACGATAGTCCCGCCCATTCCGGTGATTGAGAAATTTTCTCGATAGGTGGGAAGCTGCAGACGTCTTTGAGCCTTTTCTGACACGAATGATTTTTGAGAGCCTTGGTCTTTTAAGGCTCTTAGGGTAAAGAGAGTGCCAATGTGCTTGATATGCACTTGGGCTGTGGGAAGAAGCGTCTTCTCATTGTTCGTCTAAAAATTCGCTTGAACGGGGGGATAACTTACAGCCGAGGATGTGGGAGAGTCCTCGTAACTGCCTTCAGTTATATTGAAAATGGGGTGTCTTGTATGACTGGAGGAAGGTTCGAGGGATTGGGTATGCAGCAAAGACGTGGAATTCAGGAATTGTTGAGTCGTTGGTTTCTTAACAGGAGCCTTAGCTTTAGGTTTACTAGTAGGTTTGACATGCAACATGGTGTGATGAGCCTTCTTACAGTGAAGACATCGAAACATGCTTTAGCAATTATTGAGAAGATGGTTGTAGGCCAAACAGTTGGAACAGTAATTATTTTGTTCGAAGAAATTGCTACGTTCTTGAGCCGAGAGTTTTCGAAACTCGGGGCAAAGCTTCGAGGGATGGTTGTTACTAAATAATTTGCATTTCGCCACTAACTTTTCCTGGGAATGGTAAGACTGCAACTTCGCAGATGCCTTTTGGGGAAAATAACTTCGTGCCTTGGTTGTTTTATAGCTGTGCAAACGTTCAACTACTTCATATCGACTGGTGAGGAACTCATCCATTTGGCACCAGTTAGGAAGGTCTTTTCTGGATTTAAGGGACTGTTCCCACAATGCTACAGTCTCCTCGGGTAGCTTCGTCGAGCATAGATATATTAGTATAGGGTCCCAGTCACTCACGGAAACCCCTTGGGATTTAAGGCACGAGAGGCAATCACTAATTTTGTTTTGAATTTTCTGGATTGCTTCGCTGTTTTCCGAACTACCTGAGGGAAGGTTAAATAGCAATTTAAGTTGCTTGTCGATTAAAATTCGCTTGTTCTCGAAACGAGCTCTTAAAGCGTCCCAAGCTAGGGAGAAGTTTTCGCCACATAACTTATAATGCTTGACAATGCTACCAGCTTTCTCGCGAGTCTTATTCCGTAAGTGATACAGTTTTTGAGCAGGGGTAAGTTTCGGGTGATTGAGGTAAACGGCCGTGAACATATCACGAAACGATGGCCAGTCCTCATAGCTACCATAAAAGATCTGGGTATCACAGGGTGGGACTTTAATGCATGGAACCGAATTATCGAAGAAAGCAGCAGAGCTGCGCGAGGTGCTAGCCTGGTGGCTTGGGTTACCTTGAAACATTTTAAGCTGGTCGAGAATGTGGGATTTGCAAATATAATAACTATCAGTACATAATTGGAATTTGTTACCCGCTTCTTCTTTGAAG